TTTCACCCTCAGCCCGAACTATGGAAACTTTGGGTTTGGCCCCTGAGGGGGACCAACTCGTAAATGCTGGTCTCTCAACTGAGGTGGTTGAGACCATCTTAAACTCTAGAGCCCCCTCCACGAGGAAACTTTATGCTTTAAAATGGAATGTTTTCAAGTTATGGTGCAGAGAACGTCAGGCGGACCCAGTTAACTGCCCAGTGGCTTCAGTGCTGGAGTTCCTCCAGAGTCGATTCTCTGACGGGCTCTCCCCGTCTACGCTTAAGGTCTATGTGGCGGCCATAGCTGCCTTCCACACGCCTTTAAGGGTAGACACTTTGAGGAGGCACCCACTTATTGTACGTTTCCTTCGTGGAGTTAGGAGGATGAGGCCTGTCATCCGATCCAGGGTCCCTACGTGGGACTTGGCTGAGGTTCTCGAGGGGTTATCCCTGGCTCCCTTTGAACCTTTGGATGAAATTTCGGAGAAATTTGTGTCTTTTAAGGTAGCGTTCCTGCTCGCTATTACGTCCCTAAAGAGAGTCGGGGATCTGCAGGCTTTAGCTGTCGCTCCTTCTTGCCTAGAATTCGCTCCTGGTAGAGTAAAGGCTATTCTCCACCCTAGAACTGGTTATGTGCCTGAAGTACCATCTAATATGGCACGGTCTATTATTCTTCAGGCCTTCCATCCTCCACCGCATGTTTTGGATGAGCAAGCTAGGCTAAATTTACTATGCCCGGTACGAGCTCTGGAAGTTTATATGCGGAGGTCCGCAGGCTGGAGGAAGTCGGACCAGCTACTTGTGTGCTTTGGGTCTCCTAAGAAGGGTTTACCTGTATCAAAACAAACTATAAGCAGATGGATAGTGGAAACAATCTCTTTGGCTTACGAGGTGCGTGATTTGCCTTCACCTCTGGCATTAAGAGCCCACTCTACTAGAGGAGTCGCTTCCTCTAAGGCTCTGTTGTCAGGAGTTTCCCTTCAGGAAGTCTGTGATGCCGCGGGTTGGGCCTCCCCTCACACTTTTATAAAACACTACAGTCTAGGGGTGGAACGGTACACAGAAGTCACGGTTCGGTTCATACCTCGGTTCAGACATCACGGTTCGGTACGATTTCGGTACAATGGAGGGAAAAGCAAAACAAAAATGCAGAAGGCATTTTATTTTTTAAATAAGTTTTATTAATAAAGGCATAGAACCAGTTTATTTGTAGTGCACTGACAATAGTTTTATATAATTAGTTTATTAATTAAATTAATAAAAAGACCTTGCGATGTTTGGTAATTGTACCTGAATTAATTTAAAATTAATTTGCTATATTTCAGATCAATATATTTGTTTTCCTTAATTTTAATTAACATTATTAATTGACAATGTAACATTATACTCATCTGAATTATAAATAATTGATTTCTGTATAAAATAATACGGTAACACTTTATTTTAAGGTGCTTGTAATAAGCAGTAATTAACAGTTAATAAGACACTTATAAGACCTTATAAGACACTTATAAGACCTTATAAGATGCATATAAGATGCATATAAGATGCATATAAGATGCATATAAGCATTAACTACTTCATATAAGGGTTAATTAAAGGTCCAGGCCCTGAAGAGATCAGGGAAACTACTCCCTCTTGGGAAGGTCAACTTTTAAGGGCCTGGGAGTTTGTGTTACCATTTATGTTTGTTCGGCTGTTCTAAAAGTGCAATGTATTGATACTTGAGAAATTTATTATTTAATTTAATTTATTTATTATCATTAGTTAATGCTTATATGCATCTTATATGCATCTTATAAGGTCTTATAAGTGTCTTATTAACTGTTAATTACTGCTTATTACAAGCACCTTAAAATAAAGTGTTACCAATAATACTACCATTAAAAACGCATTCGATTTTCTTTTTTAATCAATGTAGAATGTTTAAGAAAAGCGCTCCGAGGACGAGAAATGAAAACCAATGCGATGAATGTCCAAAAGATGGGACCCACAGACTGTTTTGAAATGGAGTTGGATAAATATGTTTAGCTTTCAAAACAGTGTGTGTGTGTGTGTGAGAGAGAGAGAGAGAGAGAGAGAGAGAGAGATTTTGGTTGGGTGACAGTTGTAGGTTACAGTTTGACAAGAGTTTACAGTGTGACAAAAGCACAATGTTGTGTTTTATTGCGAGTGTACACAAATTTAAGTAAACACTTTGCAGGTTTAATGATCTGTATGAACAAAATGACGGAGCATGTTTTTTATGTTTCCACTGTTCGATCGCGGCCGCGCCTCTCTCTCACACACACACACAAACACACACACTCCAGCATTGCAATCTTGACATCGCAGCCTGTTCATTATGCGGTCACACCAAACGCGAATAGAGCGCTAAATTCGTGTCTATCGCGTCTAGTTCGACGCTAGTCCAAAGCGAATAGGACGCGCGTATAAGCCAACGTTTGAAGTGAACGCGCGTTCAGAGCTAAGCCGATGGTACAGATTATGTGTCCCTAAAGAACCCGCGTATCTAACAGTAGTTCCGCATTACATTAATTAATTTTCACGCGAGTTTTATTTATTTTTATACCGTGTATTCTCCGTGTAAATTCGTGCACCGAACCGTGACGCCCGTACCGTTTCGGTTCGGTACGAATACATGTACCGTTCCACCCCTACTACAGTCTGGATCTACCCTCTACTCCGGGTTATCGGGTTCTCTCGTCTTGAGTGTGCCAGTTTGCTTCACACCAGGGCGTATCTCTCAGTATGGCGCAGTGGGCATTTCGTTCCCCAATGTGTCGATTTCCGACGCAGCGAGAGTTCCCTCGAAAGGGAACGTCTCGGGTTACGACTGTAACCCTAGTTCCCTGAGAAGGGAACGAAACGCTGCGTCCCTCGGCCACACTGCTCGCGCCCTGAGAACGACTTGCTTCGACCAATCAGAAGCTGACGCTGCTTGTTCCGGTGTCCCTTTATATAGTTTCCGCTCTCCGTCACATGCGACGTCACGGCTGACGTCATGACGCAACACCAATCGAAATTGGACTAGTTTCATTCAGGCTTCAGACGCGTCACGCTAGGAGCGTTCCCCAATGTGTCGATTTCCGACGCAGCGTTTCGTTCCCTTCTCAGGGAACTAGGGTTCCAGTCGTAACCCGAGACGTTCTCCAGCTGCAGTCATCTTTGAGGGAAACCAGTTCAACCCAAGCGCTATTTGATAACGTGATGATTACGTAACTGCAGATCATCTGTCCATAAAGCCCGCCCTGGCAATTTGATTGGCCCGACTAATTCTGAACCGATCATAATTACTCCTCAATGGATCGAGTCCAGACCGAACTTCCCGACCAAAAAATGTTGTGGGCGGGGTTCAGGCTGGCATCCAGGCTACAAGCTTTCAGCTGGCGGCTCGAAAAGATCGCAGTGACACAGTAGACAGCGGCAGCTCAACTAACTATGCTGCTCGCTCGCTACCGGAATATTACTACGACTATGGTTTTAAAATAAAAGTCCCTCTTGAAGGAGTCTTTAATACATTATGAATGATTTTAGAAATAGTCATTTATTCATAAACTGGATCTCCCCTACTTGATGTCTCTGAGTCTTGAACTCATTCCCCTGTAGTGTTAACCCCATCAAATATTCATGCAAAGGATTTGTACTGCACTGTTTTCATTATGTTAATATTATATGTTTCATTGTATATCTAATCAATCAAAAATGTACAAGTACACTTTACATACTAGCATACTAGCTACGCACACACACACACACACACACACACACACATACACACATGTTGGGTTTCTATGTTTTATTGGGACTTTCTGCATTTTTACAGTTTCAAAAAACATAATTTAGTATGATTTATAAGGTGTTTTCCTCATAGGGACCAAGAAATTTCTACATTTTGTCCCCACAACGTAGGGTTTACCAGGACCCCTCCACCCCACACACACTCATGTACTGACATTTAAACACTGACTTTAAGTCATGTAGCTGCTGACATGCCAGTGCAATTAGCACCTCTGAGCAAATGCACTCTCAACATATTCGTCTAATATTCAGTCATCACATACTACACACTCTAAACCTCACTTCCTCACTTCTTCAACAAACAGTGTCATATAATTTTTTTTTACAAATCAACTTCCCTATTTATTTCGGCAAAATCCAGTACTTTACAATATAAATTTAAATATATGCATGTGAACACTAGGCTTGTCTGTATTTTCAAATGTCCCATATTTGTGGTGATCAATCATTCACATTGATATTTATATTCCATTAAATGTCAATTGCAGTAATGACATGATGCCATGATTCATTGTGCTGTGCATCCCAGTTTCACCAATGCAACCCATTCAGAAAAAATAAAAATAAAAAAATAATAAAAAAATTCCACACAGTATCGTGATAGAGTGGTTACATAGTAACACGGTCATATCAAATGGAATGGAAATAATTTCACCGTTTTCTGTGATCAATTGCAATTGATCTTGTTATGCAATTAACTAATATTAAAACGGGTAATCCCCAATAAATGCACTGACAGAATTTTTTAATTTTAGTTTGTCACTCTGGCAGTGTCCTCAAATGTGCACTGTTTTACCTTATCTGATAATGTGCTAATATGTACCCTTAAAGTGATAATGTGCACCTTTAGGCATAAATAGGTACTGCACCCATGACAAGCGGTTTTAGCCCTAAATGAGCAAATTTAACATATTTTTTTCTGACAGTGTCAAGAACCATAATAAAGGGTGTATGTTTTAAATAATATTTTTTTAAATGGAATCTTTTTTAATAAGTACTATCAAGGCCAGTATTGCTGGTATCAATACCAATACTAATACTTGTACTTCTTTTTTTTCTACTTCTACTACTTCTAATTTTTTATTTCTTAGGGTACAATTAGTAATTAGTAATATAATAATTAGTAATAGCCATTCAACTTTTTTTGCAATTCAACATTATATTTGAAAGCCAAAATGTTATGATCTTTTCTAAACTTTAAATAATCTGTGTTCACAGAACTCGAGGAATCGCGGCAGAAGTGCCCTCCTTGTTGGTACAAATTTGCCAACAGCTTCCTGATCTGGGACTGCTGTCCAACCTGGCTGAAAGTGAAGGAGATTGTGAACATGATCGTGATGGATCCCTTTGTTGACCTGGCCATAACCATCTGCATTGTTCTCAACACCCTCTTCATGGCTATGGAGCACTACCCCATGACAGAAGGATTCAACCATGTGCTGTCAGTTGGGAACCTGGTAAGATCTGAATGCTAGATTCTCAGTATTTGTAATTTTCCTTTATTTTATTTAAAAGCAGCACACAAATACACTATTGGTAGTAATTTTACTACTAAGTTGAAGCAAACTCTTATGCTGCTCTAAAATCTTAAGCCGCTTTTCCAATGTTGGCCCGAACGGTTCTAAGAACGGTAAGGAACAGTTCATATTTTTCCACTGGAGCTTGGTTCAGCAAGGCTCGATTACATACCGTTTTTGGCCCGGAATTCTGTGATCGGCACAGAATGGAACGGTTAAGCAACATGAACGGTTTGACTGGCTGGTGGAAAAGTGCTTTTAGTTGTTGAGTTTGTTTAGTTATCTCAGTTCTGCTGATTTTTTCCTGTTGGGCTCTGTGCAGGTATTCACAGGAATCTTCACTGCAGAGATGTGTCTGAAGTTAATTGCTCTGGACCCATATTACTACTTCCAAGCAGGCTGGAATATATTCGACGGCATCATTGTGAGCCTGAGTCTCATGGAACTGGGCCTGGCCAATGTGGAGGGACTTTCAGTGTTGCGCTCATTTAGATTGGTGAGCAAATCTCACATCTCACCATACTGAGGTCTCTGATTTTTGTTTGTATACAGTGGGGTTCGAAGGTTTAAGAACACTAGTGAAAATGGTTCTATTTAGCTTTTTCCCCCTAATTTAATACTTTTATTTTCATTACAAATAATGTCATAAACATATAAATTTGACTGAAATTCACAACAGTAGCACTTGAGCTGCATGAATGCCACATACTTGTGGACTCCACTGTAAAGTATGTCTGATACCATTGAGAAACCCAAATTTCGGCTTTCATTTAATACTCCATAAATTCAGGTTTATGGCTTGATCACAAAACTTCACTTTTTTAACATTCCCTTTCTCATTCTCCTTCTTGCCCTTAGTTAAGAGTCTTTAAGCTGGCAAAGTCTTGGCCCACCCTGAACATGCTGATAAAGATTATTGGTAACTCAGTTGGTGCTTTGGGAAATCTAACCCTCGTCCTGGCCATCATTGTCTTCATATTCGCTGTGGTGGGAATGCAGCTGTTCGGAAAGAGCTACCGTGAGTGCGTCTGCAAGATCTCGGTGGACTGCGAGTTGCCCCGGTGGCACATGGACGATTTCTTCCACTCCTTCCTCATTGTATTCCGGGTGCTTTGTGGCGAATGGATCGAAACCATGTGGGACTGCATGGAAGTGGCTGGACAGTCAATGTGTCTCATCGTCTTCATGATGGTCATGGTCATTGGAAATCTGGTGGTAAGACCAAACATGCCACAAGGAGACACCTGGAAGATGGGCTTTCCCTATAACTTCCTTCTTCTATTGTGTCTTCCTTTCTGTTCGTCTCATGTAAATTTAATTTGCAGTTTTACGTATCCCGCATTGGTGGCTGTGATTTTGGCAAGTGGGACATGCTCCTGGATCAACATCTTTGTTAATCCTGCAACAACATTCATATGAACTAATCAGATTTTAAGTTTAGAGTATGGGCAAGGCTTAAGGCTTTGAGTTCAGCAATGTCCTGTCTATCAGATTTTATGTATGCAATGGTTAAGGTTTAGGGTTTGGACTATGTATATTCTACAGAAAGTTGATCCAGGAACACTGCTTCTTTGCAGCTTTAGTCATTTGAGGTATTGTTTTGGATTCCCTATGGAAAATGCACAAATTAAAATGTAGTATAGCTGAATTCAAATTTATCTTAAGCATTCTATTTTGATTTTCAAGAAATACAGAAAAACTGTAAAATACAATATTTACCAGGACACTTACGGAACAAATGAATCATTGGTCATTTTTAGTACACATGAATATGGTGTTTGAAAAAGCATTGGTAAGCAAAAATATTTACTTTTGCATGATGCTACATGCATGCTGATAGGTGTCTGCATAAAGCCCAAGACCACTGTTGAAGCATGAATTAAAGTCAGCAAAGCATCTTTTTAACTGTTCAGTTCAATAAAAACCAAACTGACTACAATCCTGTTGATGAGTGGATCTCATTCACATTTCACATTTTAACAAAGAAAAAAATGTGAAATTGTAATTTGCATAGAAAAAATTAAGCCAATTTTAGGACCAACAAGATTTTTTTTTGCATTTTCATGACATTTAAGGATATTTTCCTTTCCTCATTCTCATTACCTCAAATCATGTTTTTTTTTTAAATTCCCATTATTCTTAGTGATTTTATATTTGTATTACTATAATACAGTATTTTTTTAATGTGTCATATTGGATAAAAGCATATATTACTAATTTTACATTAAAACAGTACAATTTTCATCTTATCACCGTTATGAGAATAGGTCCTAAAGTAATATTTTCATTACATTTTTTTTCTTTTTTGAGGTAAAAGTTTAGGGTCAGGAATGTTTTTCTATTATGCTCAACAAGACTGCATTTATTTGATCAAAAATGGTAAAAACAGTAATGTTGTAAAAATGATTACAATTTAAAATAACTGTTTTCCTTTTTTTTTATATAATTTAGTCCTGTTACTGCAAAGCTGAAATTACAGCATCATTACTCCAGTCTTCAGTGCCACATGATTCTTCAGAAATCATTCTAATATGCTGAGTTGGTGCTCAAATAACATTATTATTACCAATGTTGAAAACAGAAAGTATGTACGGTCACTTATGATCAATTTAATGCATTCTTGCTGAAGTATCAATTTCAAAACAAAACAAAACCTCCCTAACTTTTCCCCCAGACATGTTTCTTAAGAGCTTTCAAGAGATTCACCTGTACATGTCGTGATCATTTCTGAGTAGAATTCATCTCAAATTCATCTTACCAGTGCTTGACCTTGCTGATTCTGAGAGTGTGTGTTCTGTTGTGTGGCAGGTGCTGAACCTGTTCCTGGCCTTGCTCCTGAGCTCTTTCAGTGCCGATAATCTCGCGGCCACGGATGACGACAACGAAATGAACAACCTGCAGATCGCTGTGGGCAGAATACATAAAGGCATCGCACTGATCAAGTCAGCTTTGCGCCAGTTCCTCCAAAGCCTCTGTCTGGCCGGCTCTAAACCACGTGCACTAGATGAAGAGAAACCCCTTGATGACCTCCACAGCGACGGCAAGGAGAACTGCTTGTCTAATCACGCTCCGGTGGCCGTCGACCTCACTAAAGACTATCTGAAGGAGGTTTGCGTTTCCCCTGGTAACGGGGTGGAAGGTCACGTAAAGTATGGGATTGAGGAAGGCGACTACATGTCGTTCATACACAATCCCAGCCTTACTGTTACAGTACCGATTGCGGTGGGAGAGTCGGACTTTGAAAATCTGAACACGGAAGATTTCAGTAGCGACTCGTCCGACGTCGAGGGCAGTAAAGAGGTAAGCCGGATTTCAATGACTAAGCAGAAATTTCAATTTTAATATGCATGAAACACAATTCTGAGTTTTTGTTTCAGTGTCGGAGAGATTTGCTATGTAACATAATGTAAAAAAAATATTTTTAATGGTTTATTTTTATTGATTTAGGTATGTTTGTAATTCATCAGGAGTCAATGTTTCTTTCCCTGTAGGGAACAAACAGTTGTGTTGAGTCATATTGCCATTGCATCATTCTCTGCTCAGAGCTACAGCCCATTACACGTGTATGTGTGTGTGTGTGTGTATTTACTGTGCCATGGGCTTCAGGGCTTTTTGACCCTGTTCATCTGCAGATAGTTAAGACAAACCTCTGGGCACTAGCAGGTAGACTTACTGAGTATACTCATTATATCAGTACACGTTATCATAAACATGCACTGTCTGGCGCACACACAACCTCACACACACTCTAATGTGTATTATTTACGACCAACTGAGCAGGAATGGCATCATGCATCCCAGACTATGAATGAGGCTGTTGAGGAAATTGCTAAATTCAGCATCCTTGCCCAGGGTGAAATTGAGTATGCTTAACTGTCTGTATGTTTGTGTGTGTGTGTGTGTTTGTGTGTCTGTTATTGTCTGGCTGTATGTGTGTGTTTGTATTCCAGCACATTTCCATGCTTTTCCAACAGTACTGTCACTGTGCTTAAACTTTTCTCTCTCCCCTCTTCTAATTTGATCTATTTCTATATCTAATTTAAGTGGTTCAGTGTTGAAGTTGCAGACGTTATTATCCATGTTATGTGAAGTGTGTATCTCCTCTCTGTGTGTGACCTGTTATTGCAGCGTTATGACAGACGAACCCCAGGTTTTCTCTGAGAGAGCCCTGTAAGAGACTCACCTTCCTCCTCACCCACACTAACCATGGAGACTGCCTTTGTCATCTAAATCTGACCAAACTATCGTCTCTCTCTCATTTTATCTCTCTTTTTGGATCGGATTGCCCTTTTGTTTTATGTTTCTCAATGCCTGTGCCCTCCCCTCCCTCTTAAACAACCTTATTTTGCACCGAAGAGAGACAGCTGTCAGCCTTTTTGTTTTGGTTTGTTGTTTTCTACATGACTTTGTGTTTCTGTTGTAGCACTGGGCTTCTTTTGCAGTACCTTCAGTCATATGGAATGAGCAAGATCATCATTTTACATCAATAGCCCATTGAACATCTTTCTGTTACATTAGCTTGTATGTTTTGTTTTTTTGTACAAGCTATAAGTGAGCATTCAGAGCTAAATTACCTGAAAACTGGAAGTGGTTAAGTGTGCACGTGAGTGTGAGTGTGTGTGTGTGAGCAGAGGTGAGCTTTGAAAAACATGAAACTTTAATTATTACTGTCAATGTAGAATTAGTCAATCTCTGAATGATCCATATTAGAATGAAGAAAGCTAGTTGATTCCAGCTACAAGCTTAGTATACAGTAAATAGAGTTTTATGATAAACAACTGTTTTTAAAGTGCACTTATCTTAACTTGCATATAAATATTCATATTAGATGGCAGATTTTGATATTGTTATTTGCAAATATTGTTGTCATATATTGCACTGTAAACTGCTGCAATTGTGGGAATCTGTCTTCATAGCAGTTGAAAGCATTTCTCAATCTGCTGAGGTGTGTAATTGCTAACTGCATTTATGTCATTTGTTGTTGCATATACAATGAGGAGGGTTCTGCTGTGTTGGAACCAAGCCAATGGTTAATTTAGAAAGATATTTGATGATAACTTCTTGACTTTACGGCTTCTGTGCCTCGTGCCTCCTTATATTTGTCTGCCAGTGAGATATATCTATTTTTAATCGGATTTGAAGACATGAACTGGAAGTTAGGGAGTACCAGAGAGTAACAGGGGATTAGGTACCAAATCAGAATGTTTCACCCCTTAGACTTTAATCCATCAATTAGACTCGCTTTAGATCCAACATCAAAAAATATTTCAGATTAATGAGAGGCTTAATTAAAGCTTAGAGATTCTACAGTGAATGCATTCAGTCTGGGTCAGGGCAGCTTGTTCAGGTTTGCTCAGCCTCTTATATTCCTACTGTGATTAAAATGTTAGAGACATTCTGGAAGATTCTGAAATTGCACACAGCATGCTTACGTCATTCCCCCGCGCCGCATTAGCTGGGTGCCACGGCAACCAGCGCTCCAGCTCAGTTTTAGACAGCATCCTCCTCTATGTATTTTTTAGCCTCCCTCTGTTTCTCTGACTGACTGTTTTATCAATCCAGCGGCTGCAAAACCGTCAGAATGGTCAATATCTTTATGACCCACAATTCTGTTAGGTAAAGAAGTACACTGTGGTCATGAATAATGTATCAAATAATGAGTTTGCACCCACCACTTTAGGTGTACAATCAGACAATATAATCTTAAATCATCAAACTTATTTATGGGAAAAGCTGTTGTGTTATTTTTTTGCAAAATAACATTGTCTTTCACCACTTTTTTTTAAACCTATGAACCCTTTGAGTGTCTTAAGGGTGAATATTGTTAGATAATTACGTCATCCCGTAAAAATCGATACGGAATTTTGTTTTCCTAAGAACATAATACTTGTTGTTCCCATGTTAGGTGCCAGTTAAAGCCGTTTTCCCCAATCAAAGCTAATGAAATGCTGTCTCAGACTTAGCATGTGGCTCTGGTGTTAGTTAACGCTAATGCGGCTCCCCTCCTCTTCAAACTGACTGGCGGACCGAAGCTTGACCACTGCTTAACGGAATGGACTTCCAGCCTGTGTTTTCATGTCAATCAAGGGATTGCACTCAATGGGGTGGGGTCATGTGATAATCTGAATCATGCCCAACCAAATGTATTGGGATTATCCAATAGAAACCATTTGTTTTTCGAAGGGGTGGGGAAAGGTAAGGGGTTGACATTTGCACTGGACATGAAAATACTCAAAGCACTCAACATTTGATGACAAGATCACAAGCTTGGATGAGAAAAAAATGCACCTTGAGAAACAAAAAAACATGCATGAGGAAGGAATGAAGGCACATCAAATGTACCCACAGCTGACTGTGAGATTATAAGGTGAAGCCAGAGACGTTTGTCTTCATGCCTGGCTGCTAATTAGAAAATCAATTCTCTGAATCAAATCAATCTCTAAATCCACGGGCTTGTAGGTACTTTTGAATGATATGAAACTGCATGGGACTGAGAATAACTGCAAAAGTAATTTGGACTAGGTTGTGTGCTTCAGCCAAGCCTAATCTTGTGCGTGTATGTGTGTGTGTGTCTGTTTGCTTTCTTGTGTCTAATTGTGTGGCTGCATGGATGCCTGTGTAGAAGCTGCCTGTTGATGCGGTTCTCAGTTCCTCAGAGGGGAGCACAGTGGATATCCGACCCCCTGGAGAGGGGGCGGAGTCTGTCGAGTTGGAGCCGGAAGAGTCCCTGGACCCAGAGGCCTGCTTTACAGAAGGTGTGTGTGTGTGTGTGTGTGTGTGTGGTTCAGGTATTCCCTACATTCTGGGGACTTTTTGTGGGGATAGTAATACCAGAAATCTTTGATCTTGTGGGGACATTTTTTGGTCCCAATGAGGAAAACGGCTCAATCATACTAAATTATGTTCACTTTTTCAGAAGATTTCTGTAAGATTTGTGTTTAGGGGTAGGGGTAGGGTTAGGGGGATATAATATAAAGTTTGCACAATATAGAAATCATTATGTCTTTGGAAAGTCCCAATAAAACATGGAAACCCAACATATCCAGCTTATTTGACTGTAAAGAAATATTTTCTCTTTTTAAACTCAACATGAAATCGAAATGGAACTAGATACCTTATTAATACACACATTCTAGTTTTTTTTCTGGATGATTCTAGTGAATGTTATTTCAAGCATGATAACATACTCCGCCTTTGAAACCATTTTCTTCTTGGTTAACGTTAACCTATAACCATTATCAGTTAATGTTCATCATTAGCCTAAAAGCTATTTAGGCATTATTTTAGGCCATTTTTTTTTGTTGGTAATACAGCTTTTCTAAATTATTGCCCATAGTTAACGCACTAAATCAATGCCATTTTCACTTTGAATGTCCTGTTTCACTGTGAAATACAGTGCTACAAAATGAGTTGTGAATACAGCATTGACCTCTGAGCATAGATTGGAAAACCAGATTTATTTGCTTTTCTTATGAAAAAGATGGGAAGGCACTATGCACTATGCACAGTATGCAAGTACTAATATAATCAAACACTCAAGCTTCCTCTCTAGTCCATTCATTGTAACAATGATGAACAATTGGCTCATTTAGAAAAATTATGAGTACATTTGCATACACTACCTTTCAAATGTTCGCGGTCAGCAAGATTTTTGCAAAGATTTTTATTCAGCATAGATGCAATAAATTAATCCAAAGTGACCTTAAAGACTTTTAAATGGTTACAAAAATGTTGTTTTGAACTTTTTTATTTATCAAAGCTTGGAAAAAATACATTTTAATTTCCACAAAAATATGAAGCAGCACAACTGTTTTCAACAATAGTAATGTTAAGAAATGTTTCTTGAGCAGCAAATCAGCATATTAGAATGATTTCTGAAGGATCATGTGACACTGAAGACTATTTATTTACTAATTATGCTGAAAATTCAGCTTTGCCATCAGCCGACCCCAGACTTTTGAACAATAGTGTTTGACCACCAGTTTCACATATCACATTTACAGTATTCAATACAGTAACAAATCAGCTTGTTTAAGGGCTAGAGAGAAGGTTGTAGCCATGGATCTTTGACTAACATTACAGTTGGATTTCAGGGGGAAATACTTTAAAAAGTATAATTTGGCCCCTTTATGTCATATAGTACCAAAGCAAGACTTCTAGTTTTGGCTTTGAGAGTTTTGGGAGAGTGGACTTTTTATACTGAGCTCAATTGTTATGCTGTCCACTCACATTAAGTGACTTTTCTCTGTATCTTTTGCTCAGGCTGTGTGATGAGGTTTCAGTGCTGTCAGGTCGATGTGGAGAAGGGAAACTGGAAGAATTGGTGGAATCTCAGGAAAACCTGCTTCATCATTGTAGAGCACAACTGGTTTGAGTCCTTTATCATCTTCATGATTTTACTCAGCAGTGGAGCATTGGTGAGAACAATCACATACTATATACTCACCCCCTCTCAATCATCCCAATCTTTTTTATTACCGGTACAAACATTTAACAAGTAAATTTGTTGCTGTGAATGTGTGTTCAGGCTTTTGAGGACATTTACATTGAGCAGCGTAAGACGATAAAGACGGTGTTGGAATATGCGGATAAAGTCTTCACATACGTCTTTATTTTGGAGATGCTTCTGAAGTGGGTTGCTTATGGCTTCGTCAAATACTTCACCAATGCCTGGTGCTGGCTTGACTTCCTGATTGTTGATGTATGTATGAATCTACTGCTTTGCAGCTGTTCAGTATGTGTGTGTAAGTGGATAGTGTGTGTTCTCTGGATCTGAACACATGCCTACATACTGTATGTTCAATACATGATTGAAAGAATGTGTTTGTTTTACAGGTGTCGTTGGTGAGTTTGGTAGCAAATGCTCTTGGTTACTCTGAACTAAGTGCCATTAAGTCCCTGAGAACACTGCGTGCTCTTAGACCTTTGAGAGCATTGTCACGCTTCGAGGGAATGAGGGTAAGACACTCACACATCATGTATGCCTTGATTTAACCAAGTAGGACATGTTCCTGGATGCCTAACCTTATTTCTAACCAATGCTTAACATTACAGAGTAATGACTAGGTGGTAAGAATTAATGATTCACATTACAGTTACACTTATGGTTGAAATTCCGTATGTTCTGTACTTGGTACATTGCTATTAGAAGTGCACAGATTAGGGCATTTGAGGCTAATATGATAACATTTTAGTCAGAAATTAAGATTTAGTTTGGTGTTACTTCGGTTTATAGTTAAATTTAACTACTTTTACAAGGTTTAACATGTGTTGGCATGTGGTCATAAGTACTGTAAATTCGGACATACTTTTTTTGTCACATACTGCTTTTCGCCTACTATATAGGCAAATCATTTTGATCAACCCCTAGTGGCTGGCTGCACTAAAGGTCACAATCACCATCCTCTCCATGTAACCAAATGGGACGTTTATGTAATTTTAGGTGGTTCTCATCACGTTTAAGTTGTATTTTTTTTAGTTAAGTTTGGTTTTAGTTAGTTATTTGATGCTATAAAAATGGGGTGTATAACGTCATGATTGACAGCTGTGCTTGTGATTGAGTCTGCGGGAGCGGGAGTATGTCTAAAATAAATCTGTTCATCATATAAAGCGATCAGGTCTCTTCAGAAACTCGTATGGATTAGTTTTAAGATCTCTTTATGAACTTTTTGAAGTGTCAAAATTGTAGTTGTGTAGCTATCTATGGAGGGACAGAAAGCGCTCAGATTTCATCAAAAAGATCTTCATTCGTGTTCCGAAGATTAACAAAAGGCTTACAGGTTTGGAACGGCCCTAAACCCTAAAATCTGATTGGTTCCTCGCAGTTTTCCCAGGACCAATGAAAATGTTGATCCTGGAACATGTCCTACTTGAGAAAAGCATGTTAAGCCGCATGCTCTCATACTAAATTACTGATACATTATTAAGTTTTGTTGGGAAGATGTGGCCCTCTTGCATGCTGTTGCTGAATATTAAGGAGGACATCCTATTTACATGAATAAGTGAATATTGTATGTTGACTGTAGTATTTTTTAGACCTTTCTCTTTAGTGTGCATGCCTCTCTGCATGTGCTGTGGCGAGAGCTCTCTGATCTATTCTGATGATTCTGTGGTGGTTGTTGTGTTGTTTGTGACTTGACCTTACATTTCTTTCTCTGTTATGTGTCTCTTTTCATTTGCAGTAAACAAATGTTGTGACGTCATCGTGTCTCCACAAGGTTTTTTTCTGTTTTTGTTTTTTGTTTTTTTTCCACATTTTGGTAGCTCAAAGAGTTTTGTGATGCACCCTCTGCAATATGTTTCTATGTTAAAAAGTTGTGTTCTATGAACAAAATAGCAAGTTGGTTAATAATTAGACATAATTTGGTATTAGATATGAATAAGACAGATTGAATCAGAAATCAAATGCTGTCAGACTGACAAATACTATCTACTAATATTCATTATTAGCTTAATGTAGAATAAAATAGACTTAGCTTTGCTATTCTTTGCTAAACCCTGTTAACCCTCTAAAACTCAACATTTCTCAGAATTGTATCTTAATCTATGGAAAGGATTACGTTTTTATTAGCACGTAAGCCATCCACTATAGAAGTTTAGGAAGTTCATTGTAGTTTCCGCAGCTCTTGTATCCTTAGCAAGAGTTTCTGAGCGTGACATGAATAAATGTTAAAGTATTTGTATGTGACATGATTGTTTTTTTCTCTAGGTTGTAGTGAATGCCCTGCTGGGAGCCATACCTTCCATCATGAATGTGCTGCTGGTCTGTTTGATCTTCTGGCTGATATTCAGCATCATGGGGGTGAACCTTTTCGCTGGGAAATACTACCATTGCATTAATACCACCAACGAAGAAATGATTCCCATCAGTGTGGTCAATAACAAGTCCGATTGCCTTGCCCTGATTAATAACAATGATACGGCACGCTGGAAAAATGTGAAAATTAATTTCGATAACGTGGGAGCCGGATACCTGGCGCTACTGCAAGTGGTGAGTGAGCTGAACTCATGGCCCGACTGTGATCTCTGTTATGCTAAGTATGAAGTTGTCTGTTCTGTTGTAGTTCTGTTTGTAGTATATCTATTGATTATTGATATTGATTTTGTTTTGTTCCACAAGGCCACATTTAAAGGATGGATGGACATCATGTACGCAGCAGTGGATTCTCGTGATGTAAGTGTTTCTCTTCACTGCAGTGGACAGATCTTTAAAATACATGTTTAACCATTCATGTCGCAATGTTACTTTTAAACCACCTTTGACCCTTATCCATAATTCCCTGTCACTTGTATTCTTGTCTAGAACTAATCATACGTTTAAAAAAACAACAAAAAAACATAATATTTGTGATTTAACAATTAATGAATCAAAGGGATAAATAATATTTCCGCATGGATAATCTAATCTAAATACAACATTTCCTTGTTCTTGCAGTTGGAGCAACAGCCTGACTATGAATCTAACCTTTACATGTATCTATACTTCGTCATCTTCATTATCTTCGGCTCCTTCTTTACCCTTAACCTCTTCATTGGTGTCATCATTGATAACTTCAATCAGCAGAAGAAAAAGATAAGTATTAAACTGAGGGAGGTGAATTTAAACAATTTAATATAATGTAAGACGCAATTCTGTTAAGACCTTCGTCATCTTTATTTGTGTTTAGTGCAAGTAATGAGGAATATTAAGCATATTACAATATGAAGCCTCAAATCAACCTCAGCGATTTTCAGTTTACTTTCAAAGAGACGTAATGTGATATTTACACAGTCTGTGGTTTTGTTTAGTGAGCACAATACCTTATTGAACTGGTTTTGTTTATAAAACACACACAATGGTTGTCCTTTGAGAGATAAATGGGTCCTGGTATGGGCTGAACTGCCTCTTTGACATTTTCAGAGGTTCACAGGTGAAAAACTAACAGAGGCCTGGTTCCATTATGTTTGTGTTGTGACATGTAATGAAACCATGGTTGTAACCAGTCTTCTGTATTTGCTCTTTACCTTGGAGGTCAGGATATATTCATGACAGAAGAACAGAAGAAATATTACAATGCCATGAAGAAACTGGGATCTAAGAAGCCTCAGAAGCCAATTCCCAGGCCTACGGTATGACACACACAGCTCACTGCCACAGACTATGTCACACTAGTGTTATAAGTACTTTCATTGTAACTTTGCATGGTTTATTATTACAAAATTAAACATAGCATCATTTTCTTTATATGACATATACATATATGATCATTTATCTGTACTTCCCTCTAGAACAAGTTTCAAGGCATCGTCTTTGACTTTATCACCAAGCAAGCCTTTGACATTGTCATTATGATCCTGATCTGCTTGAACATGGTGACCATGATGGTGGAAACCGACGACCAGACAAAAGAGATGGATGCTATTTTGTACTGGATAAACTTGGTTTTCATTATCCTCTTCAGTGGAGAATGTGTGCTCAAGATGATCTCCCTGCGGCACTACTACTTCACCATTGGCTGGAATGTGTTTGACTTTGTAGTGGTGATTCTGTCAATTGTTGGTAAGAGATTCTTGGAGATTCTACAGATCTACTGAGGTTTTCCTATCATAAAACATTTTGAAGATTTAGTTCAGCAACATAAATTATGGAAATATTATGTACATGTTGTTCCTTCAATACAGTGAAGGTGCAGTCACATATAATGTTGATCGGCGAAGTTTTGCAGATGAAATCTAGTCATTTCAATAGGAATCCATTCGATCAGGAATTTCTGATTCATTTCCGTCACACGGATTCACTGTGTTGACCAACAAAAAGCTGCTTGGTTTAAAAGTGACTTCTGTGTCAGCTGCCTTTTACATTGCTACACTTGACAATGGACCTTTTTGGCTTATAAAATTTTGCACCTTAATTGATCTGAAAGAGAAAACTGGCCGAAGAAGACAGTTTAGCCTTATGTCTGCTACAGTGATATAGATATTTCCTTGCAGTAATACTGAGAATGCTAGAACCGTATACATTCATGTACTGTATTTGTGTAGAGTATGCTTTGATCCTACCTTAAATATTGTGTTACATAAAAATGATGATTCCCGAAATCACTTATTGGACTTATGTTGTTTTTTTGTGTTTTTTTTGTCAGGCATGTTCCTCTCTGAGATGATTGAGAAATATTTTGTATCGCCAACCCTATTTCGAGTCATCCGACTTGCCAGAATCGGTCGTATACTTCGTCTCATCAAAGGGGCCAAAGGCATTCGTACCCTCCTGTTTGCCTTGATGATGTCACTTCCTGCCTTGTTCAATATTGGCCTCCTTCTCTTCCTGGTCATGTTTATCTATGCCATCTTCGGAATGTCCAACTTTGCCTATGTAAAGAAAGAGGCGGGGATTGATGACATGTTTAACTTCGAGACATTCGGGAACTCAATGCTTTGCCTGTTCCAGATCACCACGTCTGCCGGATGGGACGGCCTCTTGGCGCCCATCCTGAACAAGAAGCAAGATCTGAATTGCGACAGCGAAATGGAGCACCCGGGCAGCTCATACCGCGGCAACTGCGGAAACCCCTCAGTCGGCATCTTCTTCTTTGTGAGCTACATCATCATCTGCTTCCTGATTGTGGTGAACATGTACATCGCTGTGATCTTGGAGAACTTCAGTGTAGCCACAGAGGAGAGTGCCGAACCACTCAGCGAGGACGACTTTGAAATGTTCTACGAAGTCTGGGAGCGATTCGACCCCAATGCTACTCAGTTCGTGGAGTACAACAAGCTTTCTGACTTTGCGGATGCTCTGGATCCTCCGTTACGCATCGCCAAGCCAAACAAGATCCAGCTCATTGCCATGGACCTGCCCATGGTCAGTGGTGATCGCATCCACTGCCTGGACATCCTGTTTGCATTTACCCTGAGGGTACTGGGAGAGGAGGGCGAGATGGATGCCCTGAGGGGACAAATGGAGGATCGTTTCATGGCCTCCAATCCCTCAAAAGTCTCCTACGAGCCCATCACTACAACCCTCCGGAGGAAACAGGAGGAGATGTCGGCCTCCATCATTCAAAGGGCCTTTCGACGGTACCGTTTAAGACAAACAGTAAAGAAGGCCTCCAAAGCGTATCGGCAACAGCTCCAGGACGGGTTGCGTATCCCGGAGAAAGAGGTGCTTGTCATTGGAAAGTTTCAAGAGAACTCTGCGTCGGATAAAACGGATATGACTCCCTCTTCTGCCTCTCCGCCATCTTATAACAGTGTGGCCAAGTCAGAGAAAGACAAATATGAAAAAGAGAGGAGAGAGAAGGACGACAAAGCAAAAGATGCACGGGACAGAAAAAAATGAATGAGGGATTGAAACAGAGACTATTCTTTTCAACTGAGACACTGTTTACAGAGCGGAACACGAGCACCGGGGGGCAATTCACCTCAAGCGGTTTTGGAACCAATGCCAAACTGAGTGTGTGTGTGGGGCGGAGTGTGTGTATGTGCGTGTGTCTAGACTATTGTGTGCGTTGCCACCGAGCTAGCCTTAGAGGTGCATTTATGGTGTTGACGGAAAGCGTTCATTCAAGGACAGTGCCAGTGTCGACACGTCGAACACACGCACACACACACACTTGAGTATGACTGTTGAATCCCTAAAGACATTGGTGTCAAACAAAATGGCAAGTATAGAGTGGTGTGTGAGTTTGTCTTTTAGTTTTGAGTGTTGTCACACAATCCTGAGGACTAAAAGAAACTGTTATAGTCATCAGTAGCTAGTGCTAACACTACCGCTGGTGTCTTTCTTATTGAATGGCGTATTATATACCTGCACATTTTTGTTAGCTCATTTTTTAAATCATGTTGAACTTTTCTACTCATAGGTTTGATTGTCTGAACTTCTTAATTTAAGGGCACGACTGTGGAGGGAGGGACTGGGGAATGTCGATCATATCCGGTAGTGAATTATCCGAACGCTCCTATAACGGGACCTCATTTACTTTAGCGTATGCCGAACAAACCACACACACACACACACATATATATATATACCCGTAGGTTCCAAGTGCTACAAAATCAATCACTCAGTAAGCTGAGAGCAGAATGCTACTGTACTAATCAGGACTTTAACACATTTAATAGAATGTTTTTTTATTATTTATGGATGGAGATGTAGGCCTGTCTGCACTGCCTTACTGAACACAAACACGAAAATGGATGTATTGAACACAATCCTCCACTGTTGATAGCAGAATGAGCCAAACTCAGTGAATTTGTCAAAATGTATCTGATTCAAACCAGTTGATCAATGTTCTGGGTTCAATACATGTTAAGCTCAATTGACAGCATTTGTGTCATTATAAGGCACTTACGATGGTAGTAAAAATGGCCAAGCAGTAAATATTCAAATATACACTGTTTATAGCCACTTGTATAGTAGAGCCACAAAACTATTGTATTATAAAATATTATATACAAAATATTATAATTACACATGCGTTAACATGAGACTAGTGTGATGTAATCGCTTACTAATCTTGTCTGTTGTATTTTTTTTTTTTTAAATCTGTTGTCATGACAATGCTCGTAAAGCCTGTAAACTCAATAAAATTTCGCACAATATCTGCACAAAGACACCAAGAAGAGGGAGGTAATGGAACTTCCTATAGGGCGTTGTACCAAATTACCTGATTTTTATTATTTGTATCTTAAAGGGGCCACATCCTATATTTTTTTGCTGTGCATCTGATAAGCTGTTTGGGAATGTCGTTTACCCGACATCTTTACATCTTTACCCGACACCTGGTGAAAACAACAAGTTTCTGGAATAGCAACAACCACAGGAATTAAATTTTTAAAAACGGTCCTACTGCAAATATTACTTTTAACTTAATTTTTCAAATAAATAAATAAATAATTTATTTCCTATTGCAGAAGATTTAATGTAACTGTTTTATCAAAAATATAAGTTATAGCCTACATCTTGGCATGCAAATCCTCCAGATGCTGGCACAGTTTACTTTTATACATTTTGTTTTATTGGTAGTTTCTTACTCTAACCTAGTTTTTTTCTTCTTATTTTAGGGACTGTGGTAATCAATATTATGCAACAAATGCTGTTCATTGAAGCCTAAACATTCTTTTCATTTGTACACCACAGATGATAGCAAAAACTAGACATGTATCAATTCCACCCCTCCGTGAAACGACCATAATGTTAACAGACTTCGGATAGCCTGAATGTACACTCACTGGTGAACGTGATAGGAAATGGCAATGTAACCCAACTGAATGTCTCTACCAGACAGCCACATGTCTCACCGTCTCATTTTATTTTGAACAAAAAGAAATGAAATAAAAACATATTTATATATATATATCTTCCAAATCTAAAACCATTCCGTGCATAGGTGCAGGTCAACCTGTCAGTGGATGTCTACTGAAAAACAATTTTCCTCGTTTCAAAGTTCAATGTCTGTCGCCGAGCGTCGGCAACACCCCGAGTTCTGCTGAATAACACGATTAAGACATGAGCTCTTCTGTCGAACTAGTGGTGGTGATTTTGTATGTATATACTGGCACACTGTATCTCACCTCTGTATTCAACTCTGTAGAGGAGCACTTTTACACGCCACTTAAACTGTCATTTGGATGCATGTGATCGCGTGCGAGAGGTGTACGTGCGAGTGTGAAAGAGAAATAGAATATGAGAGAGAGATCTATATGTGTGTTTTGACTGTATGTACTGGGGCCACCATCGATGTGCTTTATTCTCATTTTCTTTATTGTTTATAATGTAAATAGTAGTTTCAAGCTCATGTTATAGGTTTTTTTATTATTATTATTATTTTGTTTACTTTTTTTTTTTTTGCACAGTGCTACATGTGAAGGCCAGGTCCTGGTTTTAAATGTACATAAAAATTTATGAAGCAATCAGTGGTTGTCATATTTCATTCGTAGTGTGGTAGTAAACTGCATGCACTATATTAACCAATTTCATGGTGACGTTATTTTAAAAGCCAAAACTAAGAATAAAGATCATATTTTTTTGTACCAAAGCTAAACTTATTATATTCGTTATCACACACTCTGAAAGTACATCGCAAATATAATTTCGAGAGAGAATCACGGCAGAGAAATATACATCCTTTTTGTTGGGTTACTTGAAAATGTTTATGATTTGCAAACGTGTACCTTTTGTTTTGAATGTGCAATATGAATTGATTTCCTCTGAAGCAGAGCAAAGTTTGCAGACATCCACTGTAGTTTTCCAAAATAAAGCACATTTTGGGAAACCAGTAACTGAAAAGCCTAAGACAGTTATTTTGAAAATGTTTTTGTCAAATATGCAGTATTTGTCTCCGGTCTATCGGCTGTATTGGTATTTGTGCCATTCAAAAATTAATAAATAATCCAAATAAAACAAATAGATATCGGTCGATATAGCCATTATTTTGTGAACATTTAAGAATGTGGTTGCTGTGATTTTGCCAAGATATATTCTGGATCAAATTTTGTTGAGCCTGAACAACATTTCTGTCCAAAAATTTTGTTTTAACCTCTAAACCTAACCCCACCCTTAACTTATCCCTATGATAGATCAATAACACTGATAAAGCATCAAACCCCCTGGTCGTAAACCTAAACTTGACATAAACTGTAAACCTGTCCCTCAAATCTGATTGGTTGAATGTACCTCACTTCACCATCACAAATCTCTGCTGAAAAAAGGAGAAGAGAAATGGAAGGAGGTGCAGAAGAGAGGTAAGAGACGCCTAAACAGAAGAGGATCTAAATTTAGTCTGTTCGGTGAGATTAACTGCTGCAATCATGCTCCTATTACTGCTCTGCTCCATTTCACCATAGACCCAAGACACTCTCTCTCTCTCTCTCTCCCTCTGTCTGTCTGTGTGTGTGTGTTTGTGTGTGTGTGTGTGTGTGTGTGTGTGTGGTACACTGTAATCAGGAATGACCCTGCTGGAGTGCCTTTCTTCCTGTTGCCTGGCAACCTGACATCACAGTACACCCTCCAGTGATTGATCACACAGCGTCTACCCATAGTGCTTTGGGGTTTTCAGCAGGCTTTCCCCAACCAACACCCCTCATTCTCTGTGTCTCATCCCCTCTCCCACACTCACTCATTCATGCTTTCTGTTTCAGTCATAGAGAGAGACAGGCTTGCGTTTCCTGATGTCACACTGTCCCTGTGGGATCATTTTAATGGTAGCTGCTTATTTCACAGTCTTTTATGGTGAGGTCTGGTGCAGGAGATGAGTGTGCTTGTTTATGCATAAAATTATAAGGTTATTTATGATGTTAAAGTGCACAATAATTCAAGCTCAAAAAATAAAGGGTGGGGTTTGGTGAGTGACACTGGTACCAAAGTAGATTTCAATCAAATCTCATTCTAAAGAGTCCAATGCGCCCTCTTGTGGTTGAATGATGGACGTTTGCCCTTCACAAGCAAACGTGGCGTTGCACCGCATGATGAACAGGGGGGAGTTTTTCATTATTTCTGTCTTAAAGGGGCCATAGCTGCACCTTTTTTTAAAGTCATGTTTTGATAAAGTGGTAAAGTAATAAAAAGTCATTTTTTTATTTTTTCAGCAAATGGTCAGTAAAAGAAGGTGCTTCAGAAATGCTAATGGTCAGCATCAGTTGAATTACACTGTTTGAGTTCCACCATTTTAAGGAATGCTCCTTTTTTGTAATGTGGAAAGTCGTGTATTAACAAGGTTGCACATGAAATATGGGACACTGATAAACATTACATTTTAGGTAATGCAATTTGTCTAAAATAATAAGAGATTATTTTTACTACAATGAATTGGATTTTTAACTGTGCATAATGTCCTAAACTCTCTGGTGGTGGGACACAATCAGTGTTTAAATAGTGTTTAAAACTAATTTATTTTCTTAGTAGGTAATTTTATTTAATATTAGTATTACATTTTTTATATGCTGGTTGAAAGTTTCTTCACATCCTAATAGCAATTACTAAGTTGATGGTCTAAATGTATATATTTGTGGAAGTAGGACCATAAAATGTTCGTCCAATCATTGCATTCTGGCCAAATGCAATGTCCTACCCTGTCAACATACTATTTTCATATCTCCGCGCACCCATCACCCGTCATCAGTGCGTTTCATGCTACGAGTTAGACAGAAGTCAGTCACTGAGCACCACAACCGAAACAGCAACTTTTACAGTTCCTCATGTCCTGAACCAAAACAATGAGCTGATGCTGCGTTCACTCCATAACTGTAATTTGGAAGAGATGGAAACATGTGACTCAAAATTATGTGTTTTAATGGCAACACTATCAACAAAGATTCTGCAGCCGTCAGGCGTATAGGTCAGTGCTCTTTGAGTTGTTTTTTGTTCATTATTATTGTAATGTTATGTGGTTTTTAAGACACGAGGTAGTTGAACACCGTCTCTCGTCTCGTGACGCTTTGCAGACTCTGGTGTGTGAGAGCTTTCATGTGTTTTTGAAGGAGGCATACCAAGTTAAAGCCTACATCCTTAAATCTTTATGTGCATAAACTTCAAAAGAAGTCTTTAGGGCTTGCATCTTTGTATACTATTATGTTCATGTTATAGTGGACATGAAATGGACAGCAAAATCGCTGTCTTAAGAAGTCTCTCTTAAAGGTATAGTTCACCCAAAAATGAAAAACTTGTCATCATTTACTCACCCTCATGTCGTTCCAAAACCTTAAGACATTCATTCATCTTCGATGAAGATACATATCATAAAGATACATAAAATATCACACAAATGAAGATAATCTGAGAGATTTCTGTCCCTCTATTGACAGTCGACGCAACTTTCTTGCAAAGATTTCATTTAAATACCTTACGGGTTTGGAACAACAAGAGGGTACGTATTTGATGACAATGTCTTTTCATTTTTGGGTGAACATTTAGGGTAAACCCCTTGTGAAAAGAAGTACCCATACAGAAACAATAGCCTATTATTATAAGGAATATACTTAAAAACAAACTCAATGTAGTGTTTATGGACAGTTTACTATGTTATTTACAGTTAAATGAATGCGTATTATAGTTAAAATGTTTTAGTAAATGTAGTTAGTTGAACTTAAGAAAAAATTATGTGTAATTTCATAATTCTATTGTTTTTAATGGTAAACTACAATATACTTTTATGTCATTTCTATTGAAAATTGTATGTCATGTGTTTAAATATGTAATTACACATTTTGTAAAGTTTAAGGTAAATACTTTAAAATCAAATAACACACTAAAATTACAATCAAATATTTTTCAAGTGTTTTAGTATAGGCAACACATCAAAACAAGTGT